TTTTTTCAAAATATAATCTGGCCCCCCAATGGTTTGAGGGACTGTGACCTGGCCCTCTGTTTAAAAAGTTTGAGGACCCCTGGGATAGATTTTCCAAGCTGTTTCTGTTTGCAAGCCTGACTACATCCTTATCTATATGCAATGAGCCCTTGGCATCTCCTGGGATTTTGGTCCTGAATGCTCAAGTCCCATTATCTACAACGGCATAGTAAAATGGTATCCTTTATATAAACTAGAGCCCCTGGTGCTGAACTTGCTGACCGAAAGGTTGCCAGTTCGAATCTGGGGGAGTGGGTGAGCTCCTGCCGTTAGCCCCAGCTTCTGCCAACCTAACAGTTCAAAAACGTGCAAATGTGAGTGGATCAATAGGTACCCATTCTGCAGAAAGCTAACAGTGCTCCATGCAGTCATGCTGGCCACATGACCTTGGAGGTGTCTAGGGACAACGCCAGCTCTTCGGCTTAGAAATGGAGACAAGCATCTCCCCTGAGAGTCAGACACAACTAGACATTGTCAGGGGGAACCTTCACCTTTTACCTTATATAAAACGACAAGATCAAGGTCTGGTTTTTGAATTTTTCTTGGAGAGGGAATATTTTCAAGCTGTGGGCCAGGGGTCCTCAAAATTTTTAAACAGAGGGCCAGGTCACAGTCTTTCAAACTGTTGGAGGGCTGGATTAGAATTTGAAAAAAAAATATGAATGAATTTCTATGCACGCTGCACATATCTTATTTGTAGTGCCATAAAACACTTTAACACAATACAATAATTAAAATGAAGAACAATTTTAACGAATATAAACTTAATAGTATTTCAATGGAAGTGTGGGCCTGCTTTTGGCTGATGAGATAGGGTTGTTGTTGTGTGCTTTCAAGTCGTTTCAGACTTAAGTTGACCCTGTGCGAGGGCCGGCTAAATGACCTTGGAGGGCTGCATCCAGGCCCCGGGCCTTAGTTTGAGGACCCCTGCTGTGGGCAATCGAATCCATAGATGCAGAACCTTAAGACAAAGACTGACGTAATCTTGACATCACAGCCTTGGAACCTGTTTTTGGCATCATTCCTTTTGACCTTTTGAAGCAACTTTGGAACTTTAGAAGCCACCCAGCTGGCAAGAGGAGAACTGGGAATGGGCTGGACAGGCTCTTGGTTTGCCAGGTTCCTCATCTGAAGTTGAGACAAAACATGTGAACGATATCTAGGTTGTAACCTTCGTTTACGCTTTTCAACCAAACAGGGAAACGGTGGTCTAATTTCTCCTAAACAAAGAAGGATGTGAAATTGAGGCAGGTTCAGAAAGGAGCGTTTTCAACCACTGTTCCTGGTTAAGGTTTAATGGAAATCAGACTTCCCTAAATGCTGCCCCATCTTCTTCGGTTGTTTGACTGACATTTTATGTACAACTGAGTAAGAGTGTGCTGCACATTTGGGTTACTGTGAGTTTTCTGGGCTGTCTGGCCATGTTCCAGAAGCATTTTCTCCTGATGTCATGCCCACATTTATGGCTGGCATCCTCAGCGGTTGTGAGGTCTATTGGAAACTAGGCAAATGAGGTTTATATATCTGTGGAATGACATCCAAGGAGGGAGAAAGAACTCTTGTCTGCTGGAGGCAAGTGTGAATGTTGCAATTGGCCACCTTGGTTTTCATTGAATGGCTTTGCAGCTTCAAAGCCTGGCTGCTTGCTGCTTGAGGGAATCCTTTGTTTGAAAGTGTTATCTGACCCTGATTGATTCTTGTCTAGAATCCCTCTGCTTTTTGAATGT